ATAGAATGTTCTAGAATCCTAGTCCCTGCTGCTGGTTTTAGCTTTTTTTTTTTTTTTTTAATATATTTTATTGATCTTTTACAGAGAGGAAGGGAGAGAGAGAGAGAGTTAGAAACATCGATCAGCTGCCTCCTGCACACCTCCCACTGGGAGGTGTGCCCGCAACCAAGGCATATGCCCCTGACCGGAATCGAACCCGGGACCCTTCAGTCCGCAGGCCGACGCTCTATCCACTGAGCCAAACCGGTTTCGGCAAGGTTTTAGCTCTTTAACTCCTGCTGTGTGGTTTTGAGAAATGGTCGTTTGCATGGCGCCCATGAGCTAAATGTCCACATTGTCCGTGCAGATGTGGAGGTGGCTGCCTTGGGGTCCTGTCCCCTGTGTGGGGGTATCCTATTGGGCTTGATGGGGCTCACAAAGGCGGTGCCACCCCCAGGGGTGTTCTGCACCTCTGCCTGGAGTTTTGGTTGTCTTGTCATTGGGGTGGCTCCTGGCATTGAGTGGGCAGGACCCCTGGTGCCCTGACTGGATTCATCTGCCTCTTGAGTTGGTGTGCAGGTGGTGGGGCAGGGAAGGTGGGGCATCCTGTAGCGATGCGCCACCTTCTCGCTGCCCCCCTCCCTCTCGCTGCCCCCCCTCCTCTCGCTGCCCCCCTCTCGCTGCCCCCTTCCTCTCGCTGCCCCCTTCCTCTCGCTGCCCCCCTCCTCTCGCTGCCCCCTTCCTCTCGCTGCCCCCTTCCTCTCGCTGCCCCCCCTCCTCTCGCTGCCCCCCTCCTCTCGCTGCCCCCCTTCCTCTCGCTGCCCCCCTCCTCTCGCTGCCCCCCTTCCTCTCGCTGCCCCCCCTCCCTCTCGCTGCCACCTCCCTCTCGCTGCCACCTCCCTCTCGCTGCCCCCCTCCCTCTCGCTGCCCCCTCCCTCTCGCTGCCCCCCTCCCTCTCGCTGCCCCCTTCCTCTCGCTGCCCCCCTCCCTCTCTGCCCCCTTCCTCTCTCTGCCCCCCTCCCTCTCTCTGCCCCCCTCCCTCTCTCTGCCCCCCTCCCTCTCACTGCCCCCCTCCCTCTCTCTGCCCCCCTTCCTCTTGCTACCCCCTTCCTCTCGCTGCCCCCCGTCCTCTCGCTGCCCCGTCTCTCTTTGAACTGCTCCCTCCCACGCGGCGGCTGCCCCGTCAGCACTTCTGGTCGGTTCTCCCTTCTCCGAGCGGCTTTCTGCGCTGAGGCCCAGTTTCACCCGCACCCTGTGACCTTCACCTCCTCCTCCTCTCCCGCTTCCCACCTCCAGGTTTTCTCTGGGCCCCTGTGTCAGGTCCCCCCATGGTCTTCTGGTCAGCCTGTGGCTGTGCCCCCCCCCGCCATGGACCCTCCCTCTCCGTCCCGGTGTTTGGGTCATGGGTCAGGGGCCTTTGCTGTTGAGCATCAGCTGTGGTCAGAGAACCAGCCAGCAGCCATCCAGCCTGTGCTCACCCAGCGACCGGCAGGCAGAAACCCGGGCTGGGCCCCTCCTGGTGGAGACAGGCCGCAGATAAGATAAATCAGGTTTACAGCGTGTCAGACAGTAATCAGCCTTTTGATGAAAAGGAAAGCAGGAGGTGGAGGTGGAAGTGCTGGTGGGGGGCGGGGGTTGCCGTCTCACGGGCCTGGTGACAGTGGAGAACAGGAGATAAAGGCAAAAACCTGCAGGCATGGCACGGAGTTCTTACATTCCCTGCACCCAGTTTTTCCTAACGTGAACATTTTATTTATTTCTTTGTATTTTGTTAATCCTCACCTGAGGACATTTTTTCCCATTGATTTTTAGAGAGTGGAAGGGAAGGGGAGAGAGAGAGAGAGAGATAGATGGAGGGGTGCGCATGGGGAGAAACAGATGTGAGGGAGACCTGGGTCAGGATGGAGCCTGACCCTTGGGTGCCTGGGCCAGCACTCTAACCACTGAGCCACACCGGCCAGGGCTAATGTTAGCATTTTACAGCACTATGGTCTTCTGGCCACCACCGAGGAACCAGCATGGCGCATTCACTCTCAGCCCCTCCCGCATTTACTCGGCCTCCTTAGCTTTTCCCTGATGTCCTCCTCTCCTCCAGGCCCTTGTCCAGAGAACCCCTTCCGGTGAGTTCACTGTTAGGTCTCCTCGTGGCTGTGGCAGGGTCTCAGGCTCTCCTTCCCTCTGAGGACCCTGACAGCTTCGAGGAGTTCCGTCAGATGTTGTGGAGACTGTGCCTCACTGGGGACTTAGCTGCTGTGTTTTCATGACTAGACAGGGGTTCGGGGTTTTGGCGGGAAGACCATAGAGGACAAGAGCCCTTGTCATCATATAGCATCAGAGTTAGCCCGGTCAGCATGCCTGTTGCCCTTGGTCACCTGGCCGATGGCTAGCATGTGCCTTGGTGTGTGTGTGTGTGTGTGTGTGTGTGTGTGTGTGTGTGTGTGTGTTGGTTGGACGACACTCCACCAACTGAGCCACACTGGCCGGGCTCTGCTTTCTCTCTTTATAAATATGCCTTTTCTGGACATTTCATGTCAGTGGAATCCTATGATGCACGAGCTTTTGTGTCCGTACAATTATTATCTGTAATCATTTGGTATCTTTGTGAACACTTTTCTACACACTCTGTCTCTTTTGGGAGGATTAACGTAGTTAAAAAGTTGATAATACAGCCCGGCTGGTGTGACTCAGTGGTTGAGTGTTGACCTATGAACCAGCAGGTCATGGTTCAATTCCCGGTCAGGGCAGATGCCCGGGTTGCGGGCTGGATCCCCAGTAGGGGGCGTACAGGAGACAGCCGATCAATGATTCTCTCTCATCGTTGATGTTTCTGTCTCTCTCTCCCTGTCCCTTCCTCTCTGAAGTCAATAAAAGAAATATTTTTTTAGAAGTTAATAATATATAAATCAACATACTTAGATACTGAAAAAACGGGATTTCATATCGTCAGGCAGAGGGACATCATGGTCCCTGATCTTGTGCCTTTCGGAGACAGCTCACTCTCTTGACCATCAGTCACCTTCTGCAGCTTGAAGCCTGGATTAATGACCTGTCCAGCGGAATCTGTTCTCTTTCTAAAACTGGGGGATAAATGGAAATTGATGTTCTCCCCATGGAATAGAACAGAGAGCCCAGGACAGGAGCCAGGCGCAGATATGGAGGTCTGGTCTGAGGCCGAGTGGCCACTGGCTGGAGTGGTGGGAAAGGAGAGACTCTTTATAAATGGAGCTGGTGCCAAAAGTGTCATTCCTCTGGGAAGAGCTGAAATTAGATCCCTACCTCAAACCATATGCCCGTGGAGGGTCCTGCGAAGGGGAATGACACGGCCTTAACTAAAATGGATCACTTTGGCTGCCTCGTGGCACTAGTGTCGACGGGGCTGGAGAGGAGGCAGTTGGCCAGCTTGCGGCTCCCCTGCAGCCCTCGGTGCACAGAGAGGGTTAGCCGGTCAGTGCTGGTTGCACCACCTCGAGAAGATGGGAGAGTGAGAGACGAGAGGAGGAGCCTGTGCTGGAGACGGCCGGAGTTAGCTGATCCCAGCAGGTGGAGACTGTAAACCCCTAGCTCAGCGGTTCTCAACCTTCTGGCCCTTTAAATACAGGTCCTCATGTGGTGACCCAACCATAAAATTATTTCCATTGCTACTTCATCACTGTCATGTTGCTACTGTTATGAATCGTCATGTAAATGTCTGATCTGCAGGATGGTCTTAGGCGACCCCTGTGAAAGGGTCATTTGACCACCAAAGGGGTCGCGACCCACAGGTTGAGAACCGCTGCCCTAGCTGCTGAGGATGTTGAGCCACACTGGCTGCATCTTCAGGGGAACGGGGTGGAGGGAAGGAAGCTTGGCTCCATCCCGCAGGCCCTCCGTTTCCCAGAGTGCTTGTGGGCATCGGAGAGGAGGCCTCGGGATGTCTTGGGAAGCAGCCCAGGCTTCGGGCTCCAGGAAATCTGGGTTCAAATCCCAGCGCTTCCTTCACCCGAGTAGCTTTTCAGTTGTGTGTATTTGGCTGCAAGTAACTTTTTACCCAAGTAGCGATGGCTTAAATAACACTCTTATTTTTTTCCACCCGATTTTTTAAAATGTAGGTTTTGGAATGGTTGGTACGTTCATAGGACTTAAAAGCCAAAAGTTATTTTGAAAAATACAGTGAAATGTCTCCCTCTCCCAGTTGCTCCCACCTTCGAGGTCGCCATCCTAGTGGTCAGTGTTCAGTGCTGAATAGATTCTTCTCAGAGCTCTTCAGACTTACAAAGGCACGCAGAATATATACTCTTTATTTTAAAGTATACTTTTATTGATTTCAGAGAGGGAGAGGGAGAGGGAGAGAGAGTTAGAAACATCAGTGATGAGAGAATCATTGATCGGTGCCTCCTGTGCGCCCCCTACTGGGGATCGAGCCCACAACCCGGCCATGTGCCCTTGACCAGAATTGAACCGTGACTTCCTGGTTCCTAGGTAGACGCTCAAGCCCTGAGCCATGCCCGCTGGGCTTGTTTTTGTGTCTTTTTGTTGGTGGTGTAGCTGTTTGAAACGCTCTTTCCCAAGCACAACGCCGAAGTGCTGGCGGGCCGTCCGGAGCTGGAGAAGGCTCTGATGCGTCTCAGAGAAAATAGGTGTTCCAGAAGCTTCCCTCGGCGTGAGTCACAGTGCCGCTGGCCGTGTGCTCATGTGAGCACATCAGCAATGCACGTCACCTAAGGCGTCTTCAAACAGAAACGCACATAAAACATCATGACGTACCGGCCGGTGGATGAAAATGTTGTGACAGGAGGCTCATAGGAACCTGTGTTCCCCGCAGGGTCAACCCAGCTCCCAGTCCCCGACTCTGTTCATGGAACTTTGTGGAATACTAGAGGCCTGGTGCATGAAATTCGTGCGTGGGTGCTGTCCCTATGCCTGGCTGGTGATCAGCATACGTGTCTGGCATGGAAGGCAGGTTCCAGCTGACCTCCGGGCCCTGGGCAGCACCTGGGTCCCCCATGCCGTGCCCGCTCCCCCCCCCCCCCCCCCCCGCCTGAATTACAGTGCCCGAGTCCCCACATGGAGATGCGGTGAGCGTGGCCAGATGCGGCGGGCCGGGGCACAGCGGCGGGCTCTGGGCCACCCAGCGGTGCCACACAGAAGCTGGGTGGGCAGCACGCTCTCTCCCCACGGGGAGCCCGACCAGCCCTGTGGTCCCGGCAGCTGCGGCCGGCTCACCTGGAAGAGGCCCCGTGGGTGAGCTGGGCCGCACCTGAGTGCGGGGGCTTCCCCAGCACGAGCCCTGGCGTTCCGGGGGAGGGTAGCAGGGAGGAGTGAGAGGGAGCTCAGCGGACACCCCGCCTTCTCACCGCACCTCCGCCCCTCCGCCCCAGTCACCCCGCCCCTCGGTAGACAGCGAGAGAGCCGCACGTCCCCGATGCCCGTCATGTTCCGCGCCGCGCCCTGGTGGTCAGCGAACCTCATGCGAGCAGTCGAACTCCCGGTTTCCCAGTCCAATGACCGCCTGAGGGGACAGTGAGCATATTAGGCTTTTATTATTATGGAATGTAACTGCCGCTAATAACAAGAATTGATCGTATAGGCTTTTTTTCCTTTGAATACTAGTTGTGCTTTCCTGAGATAGAATTATGTGCAGTAAAACGCACAGGTCTTGCCCTGGCCCATTTAGCTCAGTGGTTAGAGCATCAGCCCCTGTATCCAAGGGTCACGGGTTCAATTCCCAGTCAAGGGCACATATCTGGGTTGCAGGTTCAATCCCAGGCCCCTTGTGGAAGGCAACCAATCGATGTATATCTCTCTCACATCGATGTCTCTCTCTCTCTCTCTCTCTCTCTCTCTCTCTCTCTCTCTCTCTCTCTCTCTCTCTCCCCCCCCCCCTTTCCCCAACCCCCTTCCTCTCTTCCTTCCACTCTCTAAAAATCAATGGGAAAAGTATCCTTGGGTGAGAATTAACAACACAACAAAAAAGCACAGATCTTACCGCCGCTTAATGAACTTGACACATTGCCTACAGAACAACCACCCCAGAGCACTTTGTCATCCCAGAAGACTCTTTGGACCTTCCTAGTCAGTACTGATAGCTCCTCCCCTCCTCCCCTCCTCCCCACCTCCCCACCTCCCCTCCTCCCCTCCTCCCCTCCTCCCCTCCTCCCCTCCTCCCCTCCTCCCCACCTCCCCTCCTCCCCTCCTCCCCTCCTCCCCTCCTCCCCTCCTCCCCTCCTCCCCACCTCCCCTCCTCCCCTCCTCCCCTCCTCCCCTCCTCCCCTCCTCCCCTCCTCCCCACCTCCCCTCCTCCCCTCCTCCCCTCCTCCCCTCCTCCCCACCTCCCCTCCTCCCCACCTCCCCTCCTCCCCTCCTCCCCTCCTCCCCTCCTCCCCTCCTCCCCTTCCCCTTCTCCCCTCCTCCCTTCCCCCCCTCCCCCCCTCCTCCCCTCCCACCTCTGATCTTTCCCCGCCGGTTTCACTAGAACTTTACCTAAAGGGACCACACGGTGGGTAGTCTTTTATGTCTGGCTTCCTTTGCTCAGCATGATTCATTTCAGATTCCTCATGTCCGTTCCATGTGTTAGTAGTTTATTTCCTTTTATTGTTAAGCCGTGTTCCCTTGTGTGGCCGGAACACAGTTTATTTATTCCTTTACCTGTCAGGGGACACCTGTGCTGTCTCCAGCGTGGGGCGTGTGCGAATAGGCTGCCGTGGGAATTTTCGTGCAGTTTTTGCGGACGTACTTTCCCCTGCCGCTGAGTAAACACCGGAGTGGAATAGCTGGGCCGTGGAGTTGGGGGTGTCTAACCCCAGCTAACCCAGGCCTTTCACTCTCCTGGAATGAGCCCTAGTCACAGGCCGTGGCGGGGTGCCGGGCAGCTCAGCGAGGCCAGACCGGCAGGTCTGTCTCTCACGGTCTTGACCTTCCCCCTCGGGAGTGCAAAACGGCTGCCGTGGCACCGGGCATTGCCGTCAAGCTTCACATCCGTCTCCCACGCAGAAAGCAGGGGCAGGGACAGACCTTCCCGAGTTAAGGCTGTGTTTTGTCCAAATGTGAAAATCTTTCCCGTGTCTACACTTGGCTGCCAAGGAGGCTGAGAAAATAACGATTCTGGCCAAGGGGCAAAGGCCTGCCCTTGTGGTCATCCTCCCGGGAGGGTATGTTGCCGAATGAAGCAAATCCAAGTTCTGTTTACCCGTCTGAGCTGTGGAGATGACCCCCTGAGGCCACTCTGTCGGGGGTGGGGGGGTGGGGGTGGGGCCTGGACGCCGGCTGGGAATTGTGGCTTGTGTTTGGTCTGAGAGCAAGAGCCCCCAAAGGAAGACTATAGAGACAGAAGCTTCTAGAGCAGCGGCTCTCCAAGTGTGCCTGGACCAGCACATCCGCACTGCCTGGGAGCGTGTTAGACAGGCACACACTCTGGCCCTGCCCCAGACCTGCTGGTTCTGGCTCAGGTTTAGGACCGAGGGGTCCGGGGCCCATGAGGGTGCAGCCCCGGCTTTTGTTTCCCCTTTGCTTTTCTTCGTTCATTTCCTCCTGAACTTGGCGCTTTCTCTGTGGCCTGGTGCCTTGAAGGCCCTGTGTCCATTCCTCTCATTCCCCTACCCCACTCCCTTGCCTGTTTCAGTCCTTCTCAGAGTTTCCCTGGTTTTTATAAACTAGTTTTAAGAAAAAAATCTAGCCCGGCCGGTGTGGCTCAGTGGTTGAGCGCCAACCTATGAACCAGGAGGTCACGGTTCGATTCCAGGTCAGGCACGTGCCCTGGTTGCAGGTTCGATCCCCGGTGGGGGGCATGCAGGAGGCAGCTGAGCAATGATTCTCTCTGATCATTGATGTTTCTATCTCTTCCTCTCCCTTCCTGTCTCTGAAATCAATAAAAATGTATTTAAAGAAGAAAAAAGAAAAAAAATCTAGCGTTGGTTGGGTAGCTCAGTTGGTTAGAGCATTGCCTGGGGGTTCAGTCCTTGGTCAGGGCACATGCAAGAATCAGCCAACAAATGTATAAACAAGTGGAACAACAAATCTCTCTCTTCCTCTAACAAAAAAGGGGGGAAAATCTAAAACCTCTTGAGGTACCTGGATTTCTTGGCAGGCCGGCAGCTTAATAGCTGCGTTTAGAATACCCGCAGAACACACAAAACCTTTCTAGTGTGACTATAAACTGGGCTTCAGGAGCCAGACCCCAGGCCCTCTCTGAGCAATGCAGGTTTTACAGGGCACACTTTTCCGTTGTAAGGAATTCAGTGATTTTAGAACTCTAAAGGTCGCTCAGAGCGAAGAGGGGGTAGGTTTTAATTGTGCTTCAAATTGCTCTTTCTCTCCCTTCCCCTAGAGGGGCGGGAGCGGGCAAGCAGCCAACATTTCTTGCCTGTTTTCCTTTTCTGGCTTTGAAATAGACACAGCATGCGAGCGGCTACATATCCCGGTGCTGGCAGCTCCCGCTGGGCCTTTGCACGGAATTGCAAAGGGTGCCTCCATGGAGAGGCTCCGTCCCCGTGGAGCCTCCTTTGTGTGGGTTGGAGAGGGGTCCTTTCTCCTGGTGGGTGTTGCCCTTATCTGGGTCTCGCTGGTGTCAGAACCTCACTGGACTTGCGGCCCCTCTGGTCCCTGTGGCTGGGTTCCTTTGTGCGTGAACAACCTGGACAGCTGTTCATGGTGGTCAGTGTATATATATATTATGTACCCACTACAGGTGACATGTGTCGATCTTATAACTTACATCCTGCATTCATTTATTTATTTTTATTATTTAAAAAAAATCTTCACCTGAAGCTATGTTTATTTTTTAAAATTTTTTGTTGGTAATCCTCACCCGAGAATGGAAGGAGAGAGAGAGAGAGAGAGAGAGAGAGAGAGAGAGAGAGAGAGAGAGAGAGAAGAGAAGGGGAGGGGAGGGGAGGGGAGGGGAGGGGAGGGGAGGGGAGGGGAGGGAAACATCGATGTGAGAGAGAGACATTGATTCCAGAGAAAGAGAGAGAAACATTGGTGTGAGATAGAAACAGCAAACATTTGCCTCCTGTACACGCCCAGCCATGGATTGAACCTGCAACCTAGGTATGTGCCCTGACCTGGAATTGAACCTGTGACCTTTCGGGGTACAGGACAACGCTCCAACCCACTGAGCCACACCGGCCAGGGCCATAACAATTACAGCCGGGAATAGAAGCCATGACCCTTCGGAGCTGGGGAAGGGCCCTGGGTGGCCTCTTCCGGCGTCCGGTGGCTCCAGGCGCTCCTTGGGTTGTAGCCGCATCATCCTCATCTCTGCCTCCGTCTTCACATGCCTTGTGTCCTTTGCGCCTTCTGTTAAAAGGTCACTGGTCATTGGATGTAGGGCTCGTCGAGATAATTTAGGATGATCTCATCTCATCTCAATTATATATGCAAAGATTTTTTTTATCCCCCAAATAAGGAAGGCCACATTCAGGTTCCGGTTGGTGGACATGTCTTTTTGGGAGGCCATCAGTCAACGCACGACAGGTGCCTTAGAAAGAAGCACGTCGTGAGGGGGGAACTTGTAAGCATCGTGGTATGGTGAGTCCACTCGCAGTGCCATCACGTGTCTCAGCACCCAGCCCGGGGCGGGAATACAGGAGGTGCTGAGTGACACTCTTGGATCCATGGCTGCAGCGGAGGCAATATTTCAAATTCATAACAAGCAGCCGCTCATGGGCACCCATCAGCCATGCGTGGCGTGGTGCGGAGGGAGGGCCAGGGCTCCCTGCTCTGCCAGGTGGTTCCCTTCAGTTGCTGGGTCTCGGGGGGACCTCTGGGGGTCCTGAGCGGGCCAGCGGGGTGCTGGGGTTTGGAGCAACGTTTATTTACCAGTGGGTAAGGAAGTGCTTGAGTGTTTGAACAAGTGCTGCCAGTTACGAGCAAGCTGAGTGTTAGCACAGGCCGGGTGGGTGGGTAGGTGGTGGGAATGGCGAGGTGTAGGTTGGGCAGGAGTGGTGGTCGGGGGACGGAGGCGATAGAGCGGAGAGGTTAGGGAGGTGGAATGGCTGGGACTTGGGGAGTCAGGGTTTGGCCCTTGGTCTCAGGAGGGCTGTGTCAGCTCCCGCTACATTACAGCTCCCAGATTTAGAGGCCGTTCTGGTTACTATTGCTGTTTAACAAATTACCCCAAAGATAGTAGCTTTGTCATCATAGCCAAGGTTTGCCATAATGTAGCTTAAAGCAACATATTACCCCAAATATAGTAGCTTAAAGTGCTCATGGGTTTAATGGGTCAAGAATTTCACATGGGCCCTAGCCGGTTTGGCTCAGTGGATAGAGCATCGGCCTACAGGCCAAAGGGTCCCGGGTTCGATTCTGGGTTAAGGACATGTACCTTGGTTGCAGGGTCCTCCCTGGCCCGGGCCCTAGTCAGGGCCAGTGCAGGAGGCAACCAATTGATGTGTTTCTCTCACATGGATGTTTTTCTCTGTCTTTCCCTCTCTCTTCCACACTCTCTAAAAGATCAATGGAAAAATATCCCAGGTGAGAATTAACCAAAAAAAAAAAAAAAAAAAGATTTTCACATGGAATTTACCCTGACCAGTGGCTCAGTGGTTAGATCGTCATCCCACGCACCGAAGGATTATAGGTTCGATCCCTGGCCCCAACCGGGAAGCGTGCAGGAGGCAACCAATCGATGTGTCTCACATCGATGCTTCTCTTACTCTCTCCCTGTCTCCCCCTCCCTCCCTTCCACTTGTTCTTAAAAAAAAAATCAGTGGTAAAAATATCCTTGGGGAAAATATCCTTGGGTGAGGATTAAAAAAAAAAGAGGAAGAAGAAGAAGAAAAAGAATTTCACCTGGAATTTGACCCCATGGGCCTCTGCTCCACGACGTTGGGTCTGGGCTGGGAGACTCACAGGTGGGGGCAGAGGCCTGTCCACACACTCTCTGGGCACTGGGCTGGGGTGACTCCAGATACGACCATCAGCCAGAGTGCCCGCTCGTGGTCTCTTCAGGCGACAAGCTTTGGCGTCCCCCCAGCAGGGCGGCCTCAGGGGAGTCAGGCTCCTTTCTGATAGCTTTCGGGTCCGATGTCCCAGTGGACAAGGCAGGAACTGAGTTGCCTGAGTTGCAGGTGACTCGCCTCGGAAGTCACCTAGTGGCCCGTCTGTGCGCTGCCCTGGTTGCAGCAGTCACAGACTTCCCTCCATCCCAGGGGAGTGGAAAGGTCGCCCGGGGAAGGTCTGGGGGGGTCCGAGACGTGGTTGCAGCATCTGTGGAAAACAAGAGGCTCCACAGTGGCTGGAAGCAGAACCAGGAGCCCCGTGGCTTGGGTTTGGCCTGGGCACGTCTGGCCTTACCTGGGTGCCTGTGGTCAGCTGTAGGTCAGCTGAGGAGGTGGCTCTACTTCCAGGCGTGGGTGGCTGTGAGCTGTGATGATGGCGGTGACAGGCATGTGTCTCTTGCCCTCTGACAGGCTAGCCCGGCCTCTTCACATGGCAGCTGGGCAGAGAGTAAAGTCTGCCAGGTCTCCGTAGGCGGAGCCTCGGAACGCACACATCACTTCCGCCACACTGTTGGCCAGAGCAGGTCCAAAGGCCAGCCCACGTTCAAGGCTTGGTGATTGATCTCATCTCTCTCTTTTTTTTTTTACATATTTTTTATTGATTTCAGAGAGGAACGGAGAGGGAAAGAGAGATAGAAACATCAATGATGAGAGAGAATCATTGATCGACTGCCTTCTGCACGCCCCCTACTGGGGATCAAGCCTGCAATCTGGGCATGTGCCCTTGACCGGAATCAAACCTGGGGCACTTCAGTCCACAGGCCGACACTCTATCCACTGAGCCACACCACCTAGGGCTAGACCTCATCTCTTGACAGGGAAGCTGCAAAGAGAGAGTGGGATGAGGGAGGAAAGAGTTTCTGGCTATTTTGCAGTCACCACGGTGGTCCTTATTTTTCAGGTTCCCTCACCATCAGATCTCCCCCATTTGGCCAGGCCTCTTTGCTCAGTGGGTTCCCAGACTCTAGTCCTTGCCCGGCAGAAGGGTCCTTGAGATGGGCTGCAAAGTTACAGAGGTGTAAGCTCATTCGTGTCAGGCTGTGTCTGACTGTAAATAAAGGGAAACCTAATAGGAACTTACATGGTCAGGGTTGAGCATCTCGAGGAAGGCAGCGCGTGAGGAGTTAAGAGCCCAGCCTTTCCTCTCCTCTCAGTCGTCCTTCGGAAGGGACCGGATCAGCCTCGGGTCACTATATTCAAAGCTGGTAGCGAGGCGCAAAGGGCTTCCTTTCTGAGCAGTTCTGGCTTTATGTTCTGGAAGGAAAACGTTACCAAAGTCTCACTGAGTAAACCCCAACTCTCTGCACTTTGGCTTTTACTGTGCAGAACGCTACGCCTAACTGAGCTGCCGGGAAGCCTGGGAAGTCGATGACTGATTCAGGGGACGGGCACGGCACTGGCTTAGGCTAATTGCTTTAAAGCTGTGTTGACGACAGCTCACAGTAGGAAATATGTACCCGCACAGACGCCCATAATTGAAACCAGTGTCACAAGCTGATCCTTAACATGTGTTGCCTTTTAATCTTTTCTATTCACTCCCATTCCATTTTACATTCTATATCATTTAATTAAAAAAAAAAAAAAAGAATCTGGCCCTGACCGGGTAGGTCAGTTGGCTAGAGCAGTGGTCGGCAAACTGCGGCTCGAGAGCCACATGCGGCTCTTTGGCCCCTTGAGTGTGGCTCTCCCACAAAATACCAACTTCTGCGCATGGGCCATGAAGTTTCAATCGCACTGTACGTGCGCGCCCGCACGTGGTATTTTGTGGAAGAGCCACACTCAAGGGGCCAAAGAGCCGCATGTGGCTCTCGAGCCGCAGTTTGCCGGCCACTGGGCTAGAGGATCGTGTTGATCCCCAGTCAGAGCACATGCAAGAATCAATCAGTGCATGCATAAATAAGCGGAACAACAAATCAATACCTCTCCCTCCCTCCTTTCTTCTCTCTCTCCCAAATCAATCAGTAAATTAAAAAAGAAAAATCCTGGTCACAGCCTGCCCATTGGATTTCACAGCCCTCAACGGCCTGGCCCATTGTTAGGAAAAGACGGGCTCAGAACCACGGCCTTTGTTTACATCCTGGAATTGGCATATGTCACCTGAGCAGCTTCAGGCTGCTGGGGAGGGAGAGGAGGAGGGCTGGGGACACGTGTTTGGAAAGCAGCAGCCAGACTTGGCCACTTATCTTCTCGTCCTGACATTTCCAGCAGCCGGTGGTACAGTCCTGTCAGCTTTCTTTTTATGACTTGCAAGTTACCCGAGAGTCACTCACATGCGTAGTGGGGAGCTGCAGTCGCCTGTTTCCGGAGCTAACGGGGCCTTTAATTCCCGTCCTGCAAGCTTTCTGGCTTCTGCACAGCTCCCGATGACAACGCAGAACTCCCAAGGCATTACAAGTGCCGGAGGAATTCACACGCGTTTCGGGAAGGACACGCTGTCATTGTTGCGTCACGGTTGTTCTCTGGAGCTGCCTGTGGTTTCCAGGCTGGCGTTTCCTGCTTTGTATACGAGGTGGTGAGGAATGAGGCTCTTCAGAATCACAGGGTCTGAGTTCGAATTCTGCCACATAGCGTGGTCCTGGCCCCTCTGAGATTCTTGTTTCCTGAGCTGAGAAACGTGAGTCAGCGTTCTTCCCACCTCACTGGGGCCTGAGAGGGACCGGTGGGTATAGAGTTAGCTAAGGTATAGAGTTAGCCTGAGACGGAGGAATCAGTGGGCCCCTGTGGGCTTTGCAAGGTGCATCAGTCAGCTTTGACTGAGTGATGTGCAGTAACAAGTGAGCCCCCAAGCTCAGTGGCTTACAATAGCAAAATCTCGTCTATGCTTGTGTGTGTGCCCTTGTAGGGTGTCTGTGGCTCTGTCCATGTGCCCTCTCCTTTCTGGGAGTCAGGCGGGAACCTGGCTCCTAAAGCTTCTGCTCCCGTGTGAACAACTTAGAGTTGGCAGCTTTGCACACCGATTGTGTCCCCGGGAGTCGCTCTTCCCGAAGCTTTTGAGGATGTGTGTGTCGAGGAGAGGGGCATCTAATGCCGTCCCTGGCTGAGACCACTGGCTGTGCGCCCCAAGGTCAAGGTCTGCATCTCCTTTTGCTCATGACAACGTCCTCAGCTCTCCCGACGCTGACACAGAGTGGGCGCTTCATAAATGCCCTTTCCACCAGGCTGCTCCTCGAATGAATGAATGAATGAACGAACAAGGGTTTGTTTTACTTCTGCAGATTCATTTCATAAATATTTATTGAGCTCCTATTATGTGCCTTGTATTGTGCAGGCCCCACAGGGAACAAAACAGCCAAAAATCCCTGCTCTTGGGGGGGTGTTGATGTTTTGTTGGGGGCGGGGGTGCAATAAATAACCGAACAGAGATGATGTTTGATGATAAACTATGTTTGTAGTTAAAATTTTTCATTGTGGAAAATTTCAAATGTGTACAAAGTAGAGAGAATAGTAAAACAGGGACAGTCTCCCCCAAATCAACCAACCCCACCAGTTTTCACTTTTCCACCATTCGTACCGACCGGCACTGCCCAGTGGGCCTTTCTGCCACGTGGAAGGGTTCTGTCTCCAGTGGCAGATGGGAGCCGGCAGCCACACGTGGCTGCTAGTGAGCACCTGCAGTGTGGCTTCCGTGGCTGACAGCGTTTGATTTCACTTAATTTTTATATAAATATTTTTATTTAAAACATCGGTAGTCCTAATTATCCTTATTTTCATTGTGGTAAAATACATGTAACATAAAACTTACCATCTTAGCCACTTAAAAACATTTTTTTTTTTTATTAATTTGATGGAGAGGGAGATAGAAACATCAATGATGAGAGAGAATCGTTGATTGGCTGCCTCCTGCACGCCCTCAGGAATCGAACCGTGACCACCTGGTTCATGGGTGGATGCTCAACCACTGAGCCACACCAGCCGGGCATCTCAGCCATTTCTCAGTGTACAGTCAGGGGCATTAAGTTGGGCAGCTTCCCCCCCCCCCCACCATCCCTCTCCAGAGCTCTTTTCATTTTGTAGAACTGAAACTCTGCACCGACTCTATAACCCCCACTTCCCCCCACCGCATCCCCTGGCAGCCAGCATCCTGCTTCCTCTGTGTGTGTGTGTGTGTGTGTGTGTGTGTGTGTGTGTGTGTACCTCAAAAGTAGAATCAGGGAGCACTGGTCTTTTCGTAACTGGCGCGTTTCACTTAGCGCGATATCCTCAGGGGTCACCCGCGTTGTAACCTGTGTCAGAATTCCCTCCGAATAGTGTCCCATCATCTGCACACACCCCATCCTGCTCATCCGTTCACCTGTGGGTGGACACGGGTTGTTTCTGCATCTGGGCTGCTGTGAACGGTGCTGCTGTGAACATGGGCGTGCACATACCTCCCCGAGGCCCTGGTGCCGTTGGATGTGTACCCGGAAGCGGGGCTGCTGAGCCACGTGGTGATCCTATTTTTAATTTTCTGAGGAACCGCCAGACGGTCCTGCACAGCAGCTGTGCCGTTTTGGGCTCCCACCAGCAGTGCACAGGGTTCCGTGTCCCCTCATTCTCGCCACTGCTGGCGATTTCCTGTTTCGTTGACAGTAGCCATCCTAATGGGCGTGAGGTGGTGTCTGTGGTTTTTAAAATTTACTTTTATTTTCTTTTTTTTTTTTCTTTATTGATTTGAGAGAAACATCAGTTTGTTGTCCCGCTTATTTACGCGTTCATTGGTTGATTCTTGTAAGTGCCCCGATGGGGGGATCGAACCTGCAACCTTGGCGTACTGGGACGATGCTCTAACCAACTGAGCTACCTGGCCAGGGACAGGGTCTGGTTTTGATTGCATTTTCCCTAATGACGAGTGACGTTGATCATACTTTCATGTGCTTATAGCCATTTGCGTATCTTCTTGGGAGAATGTCTGTTCAAGTGCTTTGCCCTAACTTCACTTAATTAACTTGAACTTAAATGTATATAGCCACCTGTGGCTAGCGTCTTGGCCAGCATACGTCTACATGACCCCTGCACACCCACCACTGGGGTATTTTGCAGTAAATCACAGGCATTCTATCATTTTACCCCAAAATATTTCAGGATGTATTTGTAAAAGGTAAGGCTTCTGAAGAAGGAAGAAAGAACACGGTTTCATTACTACACCTAGAATTTTTAAAAAAAAATATATTGTTTGCCCTGGCTGGTTTGACTCACTGGATAGAGCGTCAGCCTGGGGATTGAAGGGTCCCAGGTTCGATTCCAGTCAAGGGCATGTACCTTGGTTGCGGGCTCGATCCCCAGTGGGGGATGTGCAGGAGGCAGCTGATCGATGCTTCTCTCTCATCGATGTTTCTAACTCTCTATCTCTCTCCCTTCCTCTCTGTAAAAAATCAATAAAATATATTTAAAAAAATATATATATTGTTATTGATTTCAGAGAGGAAGGAGGAGGGAGAGAGAGATAGAAACATCCATGATGAGAGAGAATCATGGACCAGCTGCCTCCTGCAAGTCCCCCTCTGGGGATCGAGCCCACAACCCGGGCACGTGTCCTTGACTGGAATCGAACCTGGGACCTTTCAGTTCGCAGGCCCACGCTCTATCCACTGAGCCAAACCG